TACTTTAATCATCTTTTATCTTCAAATCCTAGCACAGTTTCTAAGCACCTACTCCATAAATGCTCCACGTAAATAAATTGAAAAAATTACTAAAAATAAAATAGATAGCTTTCCAAAATAGGTTACGACTTTCCCCCCAACACCACCAAAAAAGGATAATATTATCCATCTTATATGGGTGTGTGATATGTAGCATAAAGTGGGCATATGAAAACTTAGCACATCAGTACTAATGTTTAATTAAAACAACATTATTTACAGTTAAAATAATCATCTTGAAGTAATCTTATTATTATTTTAGAGTTGATGGTATTGTTCAAAATACTTTGCCATGGGAGAAGACAGAGTCACTAAGGAAAAAGTCTAGAAAGAAAAGACTTGAGGCAGAACTTGGGGAATATATATATGATCTGCTTATATTTTTAAAAGACCTGTGGAGAATAAAAAATTAGTAAAAGAATAGAGAAAAGATAGAAAATAGAAGACATCTTAATTCCACGTCATGAACTATTGAATTCATGTGTAGTAACAAATCTTTCTCTGATAATCACATTGAATACTTAACATTATCAGAAGCTTTTGTATTCAAATCTGTTTAAAAAATCAATTCTGGAATTTTTTTTTCTTTTTTTTTTGACAGAGTCTCGCTCTGTCACCTAGGCTGGAGTGTAGTGGCACGATCTCGGCTGACTGCAACCTCCAATTCCTGGGTTCAAGTGATTCTCCTGCCTCAGTCTCCCAAGTAACTGGGATTACAGACACCCGCTACCACACCTGGCTAATTTTTGTATTTTTAGTACAGATGGGGTTCTACCATGTCGGACCTGGCTGGTCTTTAACTCCTGGCCTCAGGTGATCCACCTGCCTCAGCCTCCCAAAGTGCCGGGATTACAGGTGTAAACCACCATGCCTGGCCAATTTTCTGGAGATTTTAAAACCAACACTGAATATAATAAAAAGGAAATTATAGTGACTTTCGGTGAACAAGGAAGGCTTCTCAGAGGATATTCAACTTCAGGTAAATGATAAAAGTAGAAGACAATCTGTACAGGATATAATTATGGGGGCAAAAGCAATTTTAGATGGTGAAACAGTGTAAACAAAAGTTTTAGGTAAAATATTCACTTTGGGAACAGAAAGTAGTCCAATTTATGTATATCAATAGGAAAAAGTAGAAGTTGATTTCAGAACAACATATTCAAGTCAGGGTGTGAAGAATCTCAAATGCCACAGTGAGATGTTTAAGTTTTCTGTTATAGAAAATAATGGATTTTCAACTGAACTTTTATATGATGAAAGTTATACTCTGTTAAAACCAATTTAGTAATATTATTTATTGTGTTCAGAAGGGAAAGATACTGTAAAAAGAGATATCAGATAAATTATAAATTCCATAACTTAGGGAAAATGTTGGTTATAAAGCCCTAAGCTAGAGGAATAAGAGTGAGAATTAAAAAGACCATTGCGAAATTAGAAAATAAAAGAATTTATATGCATATGTGCATGTACACACACACAAACATACAAGATAAGTGATCATAGAAAAGAGAGGTGTCAGAGACAATTTCTACGTTAGCTTGAACGACTTTAAGAAATATAATTACATTTACACAAACATGTGGGTGTGATGTTTTGTCACTGACATTAAGCTGAACTGCCAAGACACAGCTTTATAAGACTACTGATTATCTCCTGAGAACAGCACACCTTCTCATTACTTAGCTACCAATTGCTGATGCTGGCAGTTCCTTGGTAGGAAAATAGGCAAATTAGAAAAATGACAAGGATAAGTCAGAAGTACAAGGTTAATATATTTCAAAAATAAAACTAATTGGCATTATTATGTTGAAATTGAAGAGTTCTCTCTAAAATTTAAACATGATTTTGAACAAATATGGAACCATTTTTTCACTTGCTTATACATGTATTTGTTGAGTCCTTATAGTGTGCGAGGCATAAGAAAGGATGTTCAAAATGTAAATATCATCTAAGCAATGCAAAATCCCTTGACAGATCAGAAAGAAAAAAAAATCCACACGTAAACTTCAATGTTAGGTGTTAAATTTAGCCTTAAAGACAAAAAGACTTGTGAAAGACTTAGGATAAAAGGCATGACTTTCAGTTAGATTGAGATATTATGAGAAAAGTTTAAAAGTAAGAATATACAAGAAATGTAAGTGGAATTGTCTAGCTTGATGGGAATACAGGGTACACATAGAAGAGAAGAAATATGTAAGTAGGTATCACATTGTAAAGGCCATGAATGCCAAAATCATGGCTTTGGACTTTTTAAATAGGGAATGAGGAATTATTATAGGTGTTCAGTTACAACAACAACAACAGTAATAATAATAAGTTAGCACTGTTTGGCAGGCACACCTTGGCCATGCTGTCAGTAAAAAAACTCCCTTGATGAGTGTCTAAAAAGGTTAGGTTCCTCTACTTAACCACTACGGGAGATACAAAGTTAAATAAATCACAGATGATGCTGTTAAAGACTTAACAATATAGTTAATTGAGGAAACGGGCTACATATATTCTCATATTCCCACACCAGGTAAGTTTATGAAACAGACTATAGTAGATGTTTAAAAACTGCTACAAGATCTTGATAATAGCCACTATTGATTCCCACTATGAGGCAGACACTATATATGTTCATTATATAAGTTATCATTCCACTTCCTGACACAAAACCTTTCAGTATATTTCTATTGCCTCTAGTAGGAAAATAAGAAGTCCTGAACATAGCACGCAAGCTCTACAAGACCTGGCCTGGATCTCCTCTTACAACTTTATAACAAAAATTCCTTGCTTACACCCTACACTCCAGCTATCCAGGTGTAGTGGCTCATTAGAACCTAACAATTTTTTTCTTGCATTAGGGACTCTGTGTTTATTTGTTTATTTTTTCTACCCTAAGTGTTTTTCCCCAGATTCTTAGAGCACCATCTTCCTCTTATCTTTCAACTTTAAATCTAAAACAACACCATTTATTTAGTTGTTGGTTTTGTTCCCCCAAATACAGCAGCATCTTGTACATAACAGACACTTATAATTTTTTTGTGAAATAATAAATATATGGATCGTCCCGCTTTAATTCTTATATCACTGGGTCAAAAACTATCAATAGCTTAAACCTGAAGAAGCAGAAACTCGGAAATATTAAGGTAACTCACTCCAGGTCACCAAAGCCGTAAGTGTTAGAGGACAGACTAGAAAGGATCCCCAAATGTTCCCACTGCCCTGCAGCGTCTTCCTGTATGATAAACGGGCAACTGATTCCAGGTTTTCGGGCTCTTAAGATTATTTTGGCATTTGTTCTGGAACTTTGATGAGCGACTCAAGAAGGTAATCAAAGGAAGAAAAGTGGAGGTATATTCTGGGATCACTGAGTAGCTGAAGTCCCAAAGGAAAGGAAAGATCTATGAGCAAATAGTGGCCTTTTGATGATTCTTTTCAAATTACTTTTTTTCTTTATTATTTTCTTCCTAGAATAATAATATTAAAATAGTTTGGTATTCCTATGTCATTTAACCCTTAAAACATTTTATGATAGGTGCTATTAGTATTCTCTTTTACACTATGGAAATTGAAGGTAAAAGAAAATTATAGAAACCACTTCACTCATACACACAGCAAGTAGCTGAGGAGTAATTTGATTGCAGGTGTCTATGCCTATTGTTTAACCTCAATTTAATGCACCATAACTTGTCATTTATAGTTCCAGAATCCAAAATTCTAACATTTTTACCATCTCCTGCATTTTGCCAAGGGACATTTAAATTCCATTTAACAAATATTTATTGATTGACTATTATGTGGTAGGTATTCTGCTAAGTGCTAGAAAACAGAATGATGAATAAGACAGATACAGAATCCGCCTATGGTGAGCTTTTAATTTTAAGATTAAAATCTCTTCTGAGGCTGGGTATGGTGGCTCATCCCTATAGTCCCAGCACTTTGGGAGGCCGAGGCAGGCAGGTCATCTGAGGTCAGGAGTTCAAGACCAGCCTGGCCAACATGATGAAACCCCATCTCTACTAATAATACAAAAATTAGCCAGGGGTGGTGGAGCACACTTGTAATCTCAGGTACTAGGGAGGCTGAGGCAGGAGAATTACATGAATTCAGAAGGTAAAGATTGCAGTGAGCCGAGATTGTGCCATCGTACTCCAGTCCGGGTGATAAGAGCAAAAGAAAAAAAGAAAGAAAAAAAAAAAACCCTTTTGAACTTTATGACTATTTTCAGTTTAAGTTAGATAACTTGGATATAAACTTTTCTGCTTCTCAGAATATATCATGAAATATGTGGGGATCTTAGCATCTCCACAAGAAAGTTTGGAGCATTTTACATATTTTCAGGTGAATAGTGTGTTTCAATATAATAGAATATAATAGATCTCCATTAGACCTCACTGGAAATGCCTATATGTGGTAATGGTAAAGAAACAGGTAGATTATATGTAGCTATATATTCCTTGGGGGAGATGGGAATCAGTGAAGAGGGGATGTTATTTGATCCATTTATCAAACAAAAAGAAACACAAATTAGAAGGAAAAGCAGTGTTGTAAGGAACAAAGGAAAATATGGAGAATGGGAATGAGTTGGTGTAATCAAACCTAATAAATTCTAGTAATAGTTCTGCCTATGAAAATGACATTTTATGTACTCAGGTCAAAGTATTAGAAAACAAAAGGTAGGTGAAAAAATATAAAGTTGTAAAATGTCTTACTTGCTTTTTCACTTTGCCTTTTTAAAAAATAAATCTCAAAATAAGGTTTTACCACTGTTTCCTGTCAATGCTACCCTTCTCAAGCAAGGAAAAATAATTAAACTAAGCATGTATTCTGCATTCTAGAAAATGAATACATGACCTTTCTGCTGTTTTGCATCCAATTAGCTTTGTGTTTAGAAAGAATTTCAAATAATATGTATATATAAACTATACGTTCTTTGATTAAACTAATCCAATGATATGCAACCTTATTTTCCACAGATTAACATTGACTTCAGCACCAGAGACCTCATCTCAAAGAATATTGCTGAACCAACACTCAAATGCTTTGATGAGGCTCAGAAATTAATCTATTCCCTCATGGCCAAGGATTCTTTCCCTCGATTTCTAAAGTCAGAGGTCTATAAAAAACTGGTAAATAGCCAACAGGTTCCAAATCATAAAAAATGGCTCCCTTTTTTGTGAGGAAGGTAAAAGTTAACTAATTAGTCACTGTACTTCAGGGCTACAATATTTTAAATATACAAGCACAATGCATTGTCCTGTGTTTTGTTTTTAGGATTTAGAAAACATTTTTTACGCAAATAGACGAATAACATTTTATACATCAAGCCTGAATTTCTAACTCATTTGTTTAGAACGTATTTGCTTTACCAGCTATTTAATCTCCTACAGGGGGAGTACAAAGAAAGTTTATGGAGATACAATATAGTCTTAAACCAAAACTGATTACTCTTATTACATTATAATGTAAGAAACTGTACATATCTTCACGTGGCAGGAAAGACTTTTGAGCATCATATACACAATTTTAAATACCATTGCTTTATTCAAAAAAACTCACTTTTGTAAAAAGAGAATTTTTGAACCAAAATACAAGCCTTCATTTAACATATTTAACTGGTTTTTTTTTCCTACAATTTCTTTCCAACTATTTCTAATAGTGTGGTGGTTATGAAAACCGCTATGCCTCTCAAATTATTTTTTAAAAAATCACAGGAATGTATACACATTTATATGTATGTCTTAAATGCACCATGGACCAAAGTTTTTCAAAATACATCACTTGGCTCAATTCAATGGCATCACATATGAAATGTGATGAGTTATGTATGAAAAAGGCCTCAAGGGTGGGGAATACTGATTTTCTTATATTAACGGAAATGTAAAAGAAAGTGGAAGACTAAGGAGCATGGATAAATCCTTATAAGATGAAATACATAGCAAGTCATAAAATTCAAAAATTTGCAACATTATCTACTCAATTGTGGGGAAGTATCTATTCACTCCTTCAGCACTGATACTTGTTTGTAAAACTCAAACAATTTTTTAAATGCGTTTATTTTGAGATGTTCCTAAAATTGTTTAATTCTATATGTAAATATCCTGTGATAAATATGAATAATTTCATTTCAATATGAGAAGCTGTAAGGATTCAACAGATCTCCCATGTTTCCATTTTCTTTGCACATATTTATTTATCTGTATTGGTATTTCTACTTTTAGATTGTTTGAACATTAAAAAATGGAGGAAAAATAGCATGGCTTATTTTATGTTTTCACAAACTACTCATTTGATACACAAAATTTTGTCTCCCCTTCATCATGAAAAATAAACATTTAAGCATATGCAAATGGAATATTCCCTGTACATTTGCAAATTCTTTAAAAGAAGACATAAATAGAAATTGGTTATGAAGCATTCAATGTGCCTTAAGGTGCACTTAGTGGAAAATAGCTACAATTTTTAACATTTATTCTAGAGATTCCAACCTTAATTTACTCTCTATTTAAATGGGAAACTTTAAAATTATTCTCAGAGAAGAAATAGACTTCTGAGGATAAAAGGAATCTTAAAAATTAAAAGCACATTCCCACTTTTAGATGTGAAAAGAAAAAAATGTCAGTTATTTCCTCGGATCACAAGGCTGGTAAGTGACCAAGCTGGTCAGAGCAGTGCTTTTCCCACATGGGCTCCCTGCTCTGACAGAAGAGTGTAGTCCTTTCTCCAATTTAGAACTGTTCTGAGGTCTGGAATCTAAATTCCAACTAATCCTCAAATACCCAGACATGATCCCTTTCATCAGGTATTTCAATTTTCTCTTTACAGTCAGTTTGCAACTTCTTTCTCGTTACCATAGAGCAAGACTTTATGTTTAATGATTGCCTCTCAAGTTTTCTCTAATGATGTGAAAGAAGACACAAATCAAACTTTCACTACCTAGAAACCGTAGGTGCTTGATAGTACCTAAAAAAATACGGCTGGTGTCAAAATGGTTTGTTGAAAATTGGATGTTAAATGACCTCTAATAGAATCCCAGCCAAAGACCCTCAATAACAACACCTACCTCCTCAACTCACTCCCACCCTAAGTGACAATTCTAGGTATTCTGATTAAATAAAAGAAAACAATTGCAGGTTTTTGAATACTTATCAGTGAGGATTTTTAATAAAATATCAGATGTACATCTTACACATGTGGTCTCTTTCACGCCATATGTTATTTTATTTAATCAGTTACCATTGATGAGTAATTTTATGGATGAAATTTTAAGTAAAAAGGATTAATTTGCAAGAAATGAATAACCACATTAACATTCCTTAAACACGTATTTAAATATTCAATGATTGTTTAATGTCATTTCCTAAAAATGTTTCCATCAACTTTAAGAAAAGAGGTGCTAACATTAAAAACTAAGGTAAGCAGTAAAACATTAATACGATTACAAGATATTTAAATTGAAATGACCCTCTAAGATTTTTCCAAGCACAGTGCTTTCCACCTCCTGAAAGTTTCCACAGAATGTGTTTTAATGAAATTTCTGCTTGCCCTCCACTAGTCAGACCTAAAGAAGTAAAATGATATATTTCTAAGATGATCTTACCTTTTTAACAATGAATTATGGAACTACAATCCATGAATTTATCTAAAATCGTTTTGAATTTATTTGTATTTCAAGTATTAATAATTCCATCAATAGTGATTCTTTTAAATATAGTTTCTTACATTTGCCTAGAAAGGATCTATTTCTGCCTCAAGATATAATCAACAAATTTTTTTCTCATACTATATTGTAAAAATCTAAAATCTTTAGGACATTACAAACATAATCTAGTCTCCAACTTTCCCTTCCCAAATTTGCTTTTATTTTGGGGGGTTTTCTTCAGTCTGTCTATATGTAGAATTCATTCTAACCATTTTCATTGTTTTAGTTACTTTGCTCTACAGTTTTTAAAATTCTGTGTGATATAGCAACTATGTGTACTCAGGATATTATTGATGAAAACACATATTGACATAATAAAAGAAGAGAAAAAAGTGTTTTCAGTTTCTTTTGCAATATCCTTTCTAATGAAGCTTAGTATCAACCTGGCCCTTTTATACCATAGTAGCATTCTGGGCCATAATTTTAGAAAATGGTCTAAATTTCTTTCCTGAAATTTCAAGAAAAGTTTAGGTTCATTATCCTGGACTTGAAATTTAGATTGAACTTTCTTTTCTTTGTCTATATGGAAGATAATTAGCCAATATTCCCAATCACGTAGGCTATGCCTAACATAAATAAATAATTGTGGGAAAACTTAAGAAATGTATTCTAAAACCAGAAAATTCTCCTTAAAAACAAAACCGGACAATTTGGTCTCAGTATTGCTACTCCTACATTTATTTCCTATGTAAAAATTATATCTTAGTTTTCACTCACAAAATTCCTATATAACAGTTTCACCCCAATTAATTCAAATGTGGGCCTGATTTGCTTCCCAACCACACGGTCAGGTAATTTATTTCATGATGATGCCAATTAATTTAAAGTGAACTCATTTCATAACTGTGAAAAAGGTGGGATGTTGTCACAGCAGTAATCAGTTATTATATGAATAAAGAGTCACACAGTCTAGTTTCCTCTTATTGTTTTGTCAGATTTGCCACTGCATTTTAATGGGCAATGATCAGGAATGAATATTAAGTGATAACTTATTTACCTCGGCTATGCCATTTTGGAGAAATTTTTATCTGTTCTGTATAAATACTACTTACAGAGTGTGTTGAAATATATAATGTCTATGTATAATTAAAATTAATAAATGAACATAGTATGCTTCCAAATATAACAGAAAGTGGGAAAATAACATTTACTTAAAAATGCATTTTTTTAAAGAAATCACATTAGCCTTTCTTTTCCTTTTAAGAAGCAAAAACAGGGCCAGATATCTGGAAAAGAAAAGAAAAAAAAATATATATATATATAGATATATCTATATCTATATATATCTCCAATGAAGTTGAATCAGCTTATTGGGTAGCCATTGAGTATTTATGATTTGTGTTATATCTAGAATAAATTCAGCTATGAATATTTCTAAGAAACAAAAATTGCTTTATTCAATGCACATTGTTTCCTTGGGTGATGATTGTTTAATTATTCCTGGAAGTTTCACATAAAACATAATTTCATTTATTTCTGTTTTCACAAATAAGGATTTTAAAGCAATTAATTCCTTATGAATATGATTTCCTTGTTCTAATATGTTTATTTCTTTCGTGCATTTAGGAAAATAAGCTGTAATATTTAGATCACTAATTTTGTAAACAATGATGGCTGAGAGATAAAATATAATAAATAGCTGGCTCTTTTTAAAAACTAATAAGAAAAAAGTTAAATTTTTTTAACTTGGATATATTAAATATTCTTGCATTTACTTCTTATAGATTTTAATTAAAATATCTTATTTTTATAGTGTCAGTTTTAGGTCTAAAGAAGTAAATATTTTGATCATGATACCTTTAAATTGTTGTTTTTATTGCACGTTTCAAATATATCATGTTTTCCCCAAAGATATAATCATGAATTCAAAATTATAAGTTTTTTCTTACATATGAGGAAAAGACAAAGAAAATGCCTATTATTTAGCAGAAAAAATAAATTTATTAATCACTCAAAGTAATGTTTAATATCTGAATATGAATCTTTAATGACAACACAACATAATCCATGTAAAAGACCAAGAACACTGTAAGAGAGATTTAAACTGTTGGAGTTATGATTGACCTGCTAAAAATTTTCTTTTAAATTATTGTTTACTGTCCAGTGATTCTTTAGATTCCTTCACAGGTTTGTTTGTTTGTTTTTAACCTAGAAGCAGTCTTTCAAAAGAGTAAATAAACCCTAACACTAGAATGTTAAAGATTGATTGAAATTTCAATCCATGAGTCTTAACTGTGTTTTAAACTAAATAATACAGAAACTACATCTGGGAAAATGGCTTCTAAGTGGTAGAAGCCAGTGGAAATTAAATAGTATTATAATATAGTACCTTAAAGTAAATGTAGAACTTTGTTGAAAAATCTAAGGTTACATGTATATATGAATATACACATATATATTATATGAATATACACATATATTATATTTCTGTTTAAATTTTTGTTTTTTGAAAGTGTTAATGGCATATATCACCTGGCTATTTTTAAGTCTATACAAGTTGTGTTTCATAATATCTCCATTTCAAAAAGGAAATGAAAGCAGCATTAATCAAATCAGAAGATCTATTTTCTAAATCAATAACTTTGAAAAAAGAGGCTAACATACTTCTTTTCCACGATTAAAATGCAGTCATTAGCCCTGACATGTGAATGGACATTTCTTAACTCAAGTTTGAAGGACTATGACTATAAATGCCTAAGCACTCAATAACTACTATCTGACTAGTTGAGTCATAAGAATTTCTCATTGAATTAACACTTCTGACGCAGGCAATGTGGAAAGGCAAAAAAAGATTTTTAAAAGTCTTTCAA